ATGGTGGGCTCAAAAGAAAGAAGACCCAGAAGGAAAGAAAAGCAAAAGCCAGAGTGGAATTTTGCTAAGTGCATATTGACAAGTCACAATCCTTCTGGGATCATGTACTTTGGACACATGAGACAAAACTGAAGCTTTTTGGCAAGTCACATCCGCTCTATGTTCATAAAAAATATAGCTTTCAAAGAAAAGAACACCCTAGATATTGTGAAACATGGAGGAAGCTATGTTTAGAGGCGTATTTGCTGTGTCTGGCATGAGGTGCCTAGAATGTGTGCAGGGTGAGGAAATAAAATCTTAAGAATATGAAGGAATTCTGGAGCAAAATCTGCTGCCCAGTGTCTCCTTTTTCAATCATGAGTCCCAAAACTAGCTAAAAGCACCCAAGAATGGCTAAGAACATAACATTAGACTATTCTGAAGTGGCCTTCTGTGTGCCCTGATCTGAATCCTATCAAACGTCCATGGAAAGTTCTGAAGCATTGTCTGGAGAAGGTACCTTTCAAACCTGAGACCGCTGGAGCAGGCGCAGCAGTCTTCGGCCCCTTTTCAGATGGTCCGATTTAGGTCCGCCTGTCAGTTTTTCAGGTGAACCTGATCAGATGCCCAATGTAAGTCTATGGGTAGCTGGATCTAAACAGATGGGTATCCGTTTACATCCACTTGCCCTAGTTCCAGCCAGGTCCAGAAAAACAAATTGAACAGTGTTCCATTTTGCTGGACCTGATCACACCGACTCAGGGGTAATCTGATGTACAGTAGATGGATACATTTACATCCGATTCGCCATTGACCGACATAGTGTCTGGTCATTTTGTTTTTTCCGTCATCGCATAGCAGTGTCATTCGATCTGTACCACTCCGATCAGGATAGTGTGAAAGGGGCCTTACTGAGTTCTACATACATTGCAAGTTTGCAGTGATTGACCCTATACAGCTGTGCAACAGAATATTAGATTAAGGGTCTTATCCTTTTTGTTAATGCCATTTTCATTTTGTTTTATTTTAAATACTCTTTTGAATCAAAAGCAAAGTCTGATTTTTATCAAATAAGGCATCCATTATTTTTTTATTCCAATTAGTTTTGTCAGTTTCAAGTTATTTAAAAAAAATTTGGGGCTTGTTGTTTTTTTGTGGAAGTGTACCAACAAATTTGTCCACGTCTGTATAACTTTCAAGTTGACCATCACTGTTGTAGTGTGCTGTGGCAAATAGGATTTGCTCTCTTATGAATTAATTAATTAAATCTTGTAGAAACCTGTAATGTGACACAATAAAGCTTCTCACAGACATGAAAAGATTGCGATATGATCATTCCATTTTTGTTAGGTAGGGACATTTTTTGAAAATCTGTTCTTATTGTTGGGTTATGTATTGTGTGCCTGCTCTGCTTACCTAATACCCTCTCTATAGAAATAAATGTGCATGCTCACCTGAAAAAAACAGCTGTCAGATGCCAGAAGGACTTTAAAATATGCATCTATCTAGAAAACGGGGCCAAATTTGATTAAAAAATTAAAAATAACGTTTACGTAAAGGTATATTTCCACACAGACTTATATTTTAGTTTTAGATGGAGCCTAATGGGCTGAGTCACCCTTTGTCTTTTTATATATCTTGGGAGCTCCAGCCTTGATATCTACCTTTTCTAGTCTCTTGTCTCTTTTCCTGTCCGTTTTTAAGTTTTCCCAGCTTGGTGGCTTCCTTTTTATTACACCTGCATTGTTTATAATAAAATAAAATATATAAAAAATCAACCAGAAAAGACACCACCCAGATGTAGGGAAAAAAAGATGTCTATTGTGCAACTTTTGTAGTTGTCTGGCAGTGAACACAGAGTAAAGGCTATTATATGCAAACAGAAGCACATTAGTTGTGTGACAAATGGCAAGTCAAGATAGTTTTTTCAAATGTGCAGGTCAACATAAATAATTTAATACCATTATACATAAAGAAACATCCTTTGGCTTCAAGCTGGTTTTGCATTCCTGTAGACTTGTATGGGAATGTAAAACCCATCCGAGGCGAACCAAAGCTTGTCAAATCATGATATGCTAAGTCATGCCATCAGACACTAGAAGAATGTCATTTAGAATATTGAATGCATTTCACTTTTATTTAATCCTTAATAATCTTACAATTAAATGAATGGCGTTTTCTGAATTTAAAAAAAACCACTGTTAGAATTTTGTTTGTTCTGTGAAAAATGCTGTTTGTGAATCGCCCCCCTTTTAAAATAAATTTTTTTTGCTTTGCAGCCTAAAATTAAAACCGCTTTTTTAAATTTTGTTTTCTTTTGACCTGTTGTTTGTTATATGTTTCACTTGGATGTTATAAGTTGCACTGAGTAAATACAGCTGGATAAAACAAAAACTGTGTGTCTTCAGGCTGCAGAGCAGCAAAATGTGATTATTTTAAAGAGGGGTGATTTCTTTTCTATATCCACTGTATATATTTTTTAACTTGGTGTGTAGATAGAGATAGAGATACACACTCTCACTCTTGGTAATTGCGCTGTAAACAAATATAATGGTCTGCGCATCTGTTTACTTGACCCATATAAAAGTAAGGGGTAAATTGTTCCGTTCCCTGTTGATGACACTAATTACAGTTTTTCTGATGTTTCCCAAACAGAGCTACAAAGTTTTGAATACGCTTTATCTTGCTAGAGAAGGAAGCATAGCAGGAATAAATCAGCAATGCTGATATGATTGTCCACCATAGCTTGGTGAACGTTATGTGCTTAAAAAGCAACAAACATACATCCAAACAATGAGATAATCTAGTCCAGGGGTGCCCACAATTTTTTGTGCTAAGATCTACTTTTCAAATGACGAGCTACATGAGATCTACCAACGAAAAAAAACCTCCCTCGCTCTCCTCGTTCTCCTGGCTCTCGCTCTCTCTCTCTCTCTCTCCTGGCTCACCTTGCTGTATTTTGCAAACAGTGCAGTGCAACAGGATGTATAAACTAATATTCTTTGATGTAATACATAGCACTTCAACCACCAGTATCCACCAGAAGGGTGTCGGGGAGCTTGGCTCAGTAGACTCAAGCTAATAGGTAATCATGTGTGCACAGCTAAATAAATATACCAAAATGGAATAAAGGGGCCGCCTTTCACACTTTTCGTGATCTACCAGCATCAGCTTTGAGAGCTACTGGTAGATCACTATCTACCTAATAGGCATCCCTGATCTAGTCTGTCCAGAAATCTAAGCTTTGTGGTGTCAGGTTAAGTGAGTGGCATAACTTCATATACTGGAGTTAAAAGGAATGCATTTGAAAACAGTGAGCTTGTTAAATCAAGTAAATATGAGAACATAGGATGAGATCCTAAAATACAGCAAATACATTCTTTTTAACTTTCCAAGTTTGTGTCTCCACATGTTTCTTCTCAAAAAAATATTCCACAGAAACTGCATGATTCTCGGACCAACTCTTAAGGGCAAAGAACACAACAGAATTATGAACAGACATTTTCACAAGGAAACAAAGTGTGCAGGGTACATTGCTATGACTTTTCTCTCTAAATCTCCTTTTTTTTTTTTCCCCCCCAGCAGGGATATGGAGTAGAGGACACAGTATGGGAACAGTACACTGTCACACTACAAAAGGTAAGACTCAAATTTTATTTTTTTTACTGTATAAAATGACTGCTGAGCAACATATTTCCTGCTCGCTCTCGCACATGTAACAGTGCTCATTGCCTTCTTGAATACATCTGACAATATACAGTATTTTTTATGTTTTTGTAATTGCTTGACAAAGCATATTTTTTTAATTGACATACAATTTACAAGAACAAGCAAGAATTTTTTGTTTCCCTCTTGCTTGATTTCAATGTTAACATTCTGGAACTGGTATGGTGTCTTCTGTCCTGTGCGGAATGTGTTCATAGTCAAAGCCAGATTGTGTAAAAATATAACTTTTTGGAATTGTTTTCATCATGGCTTAATGTTTCAAGTCACTCTGTTGATAACCTTTTGGACTGCCTTCCTTCTGGTATGGGTAGGAAGGAAGAAAGGTGAGTATATCAGTTTTTAAAACCTGTCCAACTTACTGTAAATATGCTGCTGTCAGTAAAAAGTGGGAAAATGGTAAAAAAAAAAAAAGGAAAAGTAGCAAGACAAAGAATAGACACATAACTAGTGATACTTATTTGTGGGTTTGTATTGAGGTCATAATGTTTGAGCAAGACACTAAAAACAAAACATAGCCTGATGTTCAGGTTTTGCCAGGGGGGAAAAAAATTATCAGGCCAGATGTAATCGTACTAGGTCAGCTCATCACTATTGTCTTATGCTTATTCATACTCATTATTCTCTCAGTGATGCAGGAGCATGGGTCAAAACTACAACTATGTAGCATGTTCTATTTTTAGGGATAATTATATTATATGATTTGATATTTTTAGTAATGCCATAGGTTATTTTTTGTGTGTTCTTGTTATAAGTTGAAGGTTAGTCAAAAAGTCTGTATTTCAGACATGAACTATGATTTCTTTGAATATCTGGATACATTGCTTAGTTGTCATTACCAATCAATATGGCACGTCTGTTTGCTTTAATCAGGTGTTAGTGAATACCCACCATTGTCTCATATGACATTTCACATGGTGATTTCCTGTTAATGCCTGCACCCTCCATAGTTTGTGTGTCATAAGGACAGGAAGTGAGACCCCCGGCAATTTTTCTCAACTCTAAAATAAATAGCCATTTTATGACTGCTCCGGTACTAGTTGCTTTGGTATACAAAGTGTGACTTTCTTGATGATGAATATTAAGGGCTGGCCTGTCGCCTACCACCTCTCGAAACTCCTTTTTGGTTCTTGAAATTAATATGTGGTGGTGGTAGTGGTGTTTGTTGTTTAGGATTTATATAGCGCCAACAGTTTGTGCAGCCCTTTACAATATACGGAAGACATTAGTTACAATACAAATCAAGACAAGATGGTAAGGAGGGCCCTGCTTGTGAGAGCTTACAATCTAAAAGGGAGGGGCAAGTGACACGAGGTGGTAGCTGTGTGGGGATGAATTGTTTGAGAATGTGATGGTTCATTGATTAGGTTGAGGTGGGATAAGCTTTCCTAAAGAGATGAGTCTTAAGGGATCGTCTAAAGGTATGACTATGAGCTCAGTTTTTGAAAGGCAGAGTTTTAAGAAGTGTTGTGACATCCAGGCTGGTATGTCAGTTAGTAAAATAGTGACACACAAGGAGTTGTGGACTGGAGAGATCTATTTAAGTGTCATCAGCATAGAGATGGTATTGTAAGCCATGAGAGGTTATCAACTGACCAAAGGAGGAGGTTTAAATGGGGGGAAAAGGGGTCCAAGGACAAAGTCTTGGGGGACTCCTACAGAAACCGGGAGAGGAGGAGTTAGATTTGTAGGTGACACTAAATAAGTTGGATAAAAGATTGCATCATAATCAAAAACCTACCTAAAAAAATAAATGTACATTTATTTCTGTTCCTAAATGATGTACTGTAGTACATTCCCTTTCAAGTAAACTAGGATCAATAAAACCAAGGTTTCATGAATTAGTTGTAGTGCCCGTGATTTTATGAGGTTATAACGTTAACGTAGACCAACATAAGTGTTAAATGAGTAAGCAAATTAAAAAAAAATCTATATATAATATTTTTGGGCTTTAGTTTAGTTGAATTTTACTTGTTCACTACAGAGATACTACTTTGGCATGTACACTTGGGAATTTATGTTCTTTTCTCCTCCAATCCAATACATTTACCATTAATGCTAATTAATTATATTTACACTTTGTTACCTAGGATCTAAAAAAAGGATTTGGCATTGCGGTTTCTGGAGGGAGAGACAATCCACATTTTAATAATGGGGACAACTCCATTGTAATTTCAGATGTGCTTCTAGGAGGACCTGCAGATGGCTGCCTGCAGTAAGTCTCTTTGAAATCTTTTTTTTTTCTAATATGCAAACCTATGCCTACTTTGGTATCAGGTATATGAACAATAGGACATTGATCAAGGACATTCTTCTATTCTACATTATCAGCTTTTAGAGTACAGAGCAGATCTTTCTAAAATTAGTCACTTTAATATTTTATTATATTATTATATACTCTGTGGTCTTGTCTTCATTATTCTTACCAAGGATAATT